TTTTTAAAGAACACTGGTCTTTCAGCTGAAGTCAAACTTCAGTAAGACTTGTTCTCCAAAGACACGAGTCCATGGACAAATTCTGGGATATTGCCTTAACTGAGCCTTGTATCCCAGAGAGCCATTATCCGAAACATTGCCTTCGGTTGGCCCTGTGTTTCGGATATCCAACTTTCAGATGAAGTCAATCTTCGCTGAAGTTATACTTCAATTGCTGGGGGGACAAGAAGCGCTATCAGTGCAAGTATGTTCGGCAGAATTGAAGAAACAGAAGCAGTAAAGCATTCAAAAATAAAGCATTCAAAAATAAAGCAACTGAAGAAAAGAGCTTCAGATTAGTAATTCATGCTAAAAAGTTGAGCTACAAGTTCAATCTAACGGTATCGGCAGCCGCCCACAAGCGGAAAATAACAGCTGCCGAAATACGTACATAAGCAAAAAATAATAATACTGTTGTACGACAAGGCAAGCTGAAGCAAAAAACAAGGCAAAAAATTCAGAAAGCGGCAAGTCTAAAGTTAAGCGCATGATGAACCGCAAGATTCTGAAGACGACTGCCCGAGTTCCTATGCTTCAGCCTGAGGATCAGACTGATCAGTGTTGAGCCCCATGGTGGCCTCAGTCCCAGCAGCAGAAGAAGCAGGCTTTGCACTCTGCCGAGCCTCCCTTTCCCTCTGTTCAGCTGCCAACTCCATTCTCTCAGCTTCCTCTTCGGCTTCCTCAGCCTTAAGAATTTCAGCTTCGGCTGGAGTTGCATACTTCATATGAGGGTCTTCGGGATCCTGGACCCATTCAGCACATTTGGACCAGTCTAACTTCGGCTCAGCATGAAGGCAGACTCTTCGGCACACTCTGAACCCGTTTCTGAAACCCATTTCATATTCTTCCTGGGTGTAGACACGGACTTTGAGTAGAGCCTCAGCATCAGCCAGCTTCTTCTGGGTCTCCTCCAAGTCTTCCTTGGATTTCTTCAGCTCATCAGCGAGCTTGGAGGAGGAACCTTTCAGCTCAGTCAGCTCCTGTTGAACTCGGGAAGCCTCTGTCTGAGCTTGGGCCACTTCAACTTTCTGGGTCATCAGTTGATCCTCAGCCTCATGGAGTTTAGCTCTTTGGGCTTCGGCAGCAGCAGCAGCCTCTGAGAGTTGGACATCTTTGGCCTGGAGCAGCTCTTCAGCAGCCATTCGGCTGGCTTCAAGAGCCTCTAGACGTTGCTGCACTTCAGCTTGTGCAGCAGCTCCTTCCTGAATTCGGCTCTCAATAGCAGCCTTGAATTTGGAGACGTCCACTCCCATATGCTCCTGGAGGAATTTTTCCCCTTCCATCAGTGGGGGAAAAACTTCCTTCTCCATAGCGTCGCAGAAGGTCTTGAGGGCTTCAGCAGCTCTTTTCTCATACTCCTCACCCTTCTGCTGCTTCTCTTCAGCTGCTGCTTGCTTCAGCTTAGCAAGCTTTAATTCCTCTTCAGCCACCTTCTTGTCGTGCACAGCAGCGTCTACCCTATCTTGTAGGGTATCTATCAGCTCTACAGTAAGAGTCTGATTGTGCACGAACTGAAAACAGGAAGACAAAAAATATATGTAAATAAATAAAAAAAAAATAGAGCTGAATTTCAGAGGAAATGAAGACAAGGAAAATTACCTGCATCATCAGCAGTTGGTTAGACCTGGCTGGGTCAGGAACTGATCTGCTGGATTCGCCCATCCCAGCAGTGGCCTTCAGCGACCAGATCCTTGCCCTATCTACTTCGGACATGCCAGCAAAATTGCCGAAGTAGGCTGCAGCTCCTTCTCGGTTCTGACCCCATATGAGGTCCCAGATATGGTCTGGGATTGGAATTCGGGGGGCCGAGAAACCCATTTCTCCAGATTGCAGAGTCTGGAAAGAAGGGAAGGATGACGATGGAGCTTGATTGGCTTTAGATGGCTCAGCATCATCCTTCTCAGAGGAGTCAATTACTATGACCTCCTCTTCTTCAGGGGTGAGGACGAAAGCCTCAACCTCTCTTGCGATGTCTGCCGTGAAGCCCTCAGCACTGGACATCACGGCATCCTTGTTTTCGTGCTCAGCAGCACTCTCCTTGATTTCTTCTTGGACCCCTCCCTTAGATTCGGGAGTTTTCTGATCCACCTCCATCTCAGGAGGTGGCGGAGGGGTCTTTTGAGGTGATTGGGGTGGTGGCCGGGGAACCCTCGGCGATCCATTGCCTTCCTCGGGTTCCCTTATTGAAACGCCGATGGTCATCGGCCTACTTTGAAAGTCATGAGGACCGATGATGGCCATTCTTCGGCGCCTTTTCAGAAGGGGCTGCTCGTCCATATCTGAATCTGAAGATTCTCCTTGTATTTGGTCTTCAGGACGAACAGGAGCTTTCCCCTCTCTGTGTCTGTTACTCTCTTCAGACTGTAACAGACAGGGGGGAGGAAGAATGTGAGTAAAAAAAAAAAAAAGAAAAGAAGAAAAGAAAAAAGTTAAGTCTGAAAGCTCACCGAGGTCTTCAGCAAAGCCTCGTCTTCTTCAGCCTCTCTAGCTGCAGCTTCGGCTTCAGCAGCTCTGGAGGACCCTTCTCCTCCTTCGCAAGCTTCGAGAACCCGTGCAACCTCTTCGGCTGTGCGGGCAGCTTCAGCTTCTTCGTCCAGCAGCTGAAACCAAGGATCTCTCTTCTTCCACCAAGGCTTCTGCCTCTGATACAGAGCAACAGCCTCAATTTGGAAGTGGGAAGAGTCTAGATGAACTTCCCTATGCCTCGGCTCAGTGATAGACGGGGCCCGTTCAGTTACAACTCGCTCTCGGTTGACACCAAGACGAGCGTAGTTAATGCCAACGTTGGTCTCGTCCCGCTCTGAAAAAGAAAAAGAGAAAGGTCAATCCAGTTAAGTTGGCACAGCATAAAAAAGCGAAGTGAGAGAAGAAGATATAATTAAAAGGCCTCGGCCCCAGCCGAAGAAGCTCACCATCCTTAAACTTTCGGCTGAGGCCGACAGCTGCTAGCATATTCTCTTGGAAAACGTAATGCGTATCGGGGAGCCAAGTCTCCGGGATATGCTGCATTCGGCCACTGCCCCCCCGGTTCGGCAGCTTGCCGAAGATATGTTGCTGATCCAGGTTCGGATCCGTCCCGTTATCTGCGGGGGGACCTAGACTTCCCATTTCGGGATCAGGCTCAGCGAGATACCGGGGAGCGCTGAAGACGCAAGGGTGGCCCGGGTCTGTGGGTGCCCTAACCCAAATCCATTGACCTCTCCAGTCCTTGTCTGAAGAGTCGTTTGGCCACATGGTTAGGTATTGGGGCCGGGACTCAATCCGGTACCACCCAGAACCATGGCTTCCGTGCCCACTTTGAATATTTGGCACTAGCCGATGGAGCTTTTTGAAGCAGTGCAGGTTCGGCACGTACTTGAAGAACTTGCAGACCCATAAATATGTCATTACCCTTCGGATGCTGGTGGGAGTTAATTGACATAGAGAGATGTTGTAATGGATCAGCAAGTCTCGGACGAATACGTCCAAAGGGAACCTCAGCCCGTACTGAAGCTGTCTTGTGTACACCCCCACATACCCCGGGGGTGGACGATGGATTCTATCGGATGCCGAGGGCATTCGGCACCAATACCCATCAGCTTCAAGGATGCCGTAATGTAATTCAATTTGTTCGGCAAACCGGTACTGGTCGGCATTCTCCACCCACCATGGGTAAGGGCGGTTCTTTATCATGGCCGAAGCAACTTCGGCACTCTCCCATTCTGAAAACCCGGGGAGGATATCCCAAAGGACAGCGGGAACTTCATCATCCTGCCCAGAAGCGCTCGGCTCCTCCGTTCTCTGAGGAGGAGCCGAGGAAAGGGGAGTCGCCCTAATCCCTTCGGCAGGGTCAGACTCCGGCCTTTGACCATTCCAGGTCCCAATCCTGTTCCTAGGATCGGGAATCGGCCTTGCTCTTCTTGGAGCACGGGCTCTGCCTCTAACTCCTCTTGCCATTGATTATTTCGAAGAAAAAGTCGAAAGAAAAGGGGAAGGAGTTCGAATTCGAAGAAAAATAAACTGAAATCAAAGGAATTTACCTTAATCTGAAGCGAAAATTGCCGATTTACGAGTTCGTAGTGGCAAGTCTCAGTTTCTAAGCTTAATGCTCGGGGAATTTGCGAAGTTTTGATGCGGGTTCTTGATTTCTCTCTTGAGAATTCTGGGTTTGTGTTGGTGAATGAGTGAGGAGAAATGACGCGCCTCTGTTTATATATCTCCAGGTACGGGAATACAAGGAGTCTGCGTTTTAATTTCTCTTAAATACCCCACTAAGTAACCGTTAAACACATGATCTTGTGATTAAACTGCCCATTATCCGTCCAACTTCCACAATCATTAATCGTTGTTATCTCATTAATTACGGTTTAAATTCAATTGGGTTAATTAAATCATTTACTTCCCTCCTTTTCTGAATTAAATCAAACCCGACCCGTCATCCTTCCAAATCGGGTCTGGGGGGCAAGTTGTTTGGGTCCAATTTAGTCCAATTGGGCCTAAGCACTAAATGATCCAATTAAAAGCCCAAGGTCAAGGTTCAACTCTCCAATTGTGCTAAAGTCAAAGGTCAGCCCACAAAGCAAGCCAATTGGGCTAAGGCCCAACTTCTCCATATATGAAGAGGTATAAAAGCCATCAATATTTCATTTTTTTAGATACATTACAACAAAGCCTCAAGCAACAAACTCTCTTGCATAGTGTCTACTTCTTACACATTGTACTGACTTTAGCATCGGAGGGGCCTTCCTCGGCAACACCCCCGAGGCTAGTTTACGTGTGTTTACTGTGCAGGAAACCTTCGGCCCAACATCACTTGGACCGAATCCAGTCTTCTCCATTTCATTGGACCTTCGACAAGGTCCCATTGTTTTCACCCGAAACAGATATAATTAGGTACTCATATTGGCATTAGACACATATGTGACCAACTAACCAAGGCCCAAAACATTAATGAGAGAGTAGGAGGCATAGCAAAACAATACCCAGTTGTTGGAGTAACAATAACATCTGCTTTTGAAAAAATTTTGTTATGTAAAAGCATCTGTCGGTGCCTGCAGACAAATGACAGAAGATATGTTACACCAAGTCGACACTAAACTGAAGAATTATTGAATTGCGGCAACAAAACAAAATTAATAGATTTAGTTCATGTGTTTTGTGTTCAGAAATCACTTCATTGGCAGGAGCAGGGGTACAGAAGAATGTGAGGTTAAACATGTACAAGATACATTTATTCTATATCTGGGAACAGAAAATCCCACTAAATTTGTTCAGACCATTTATATTCATCAAGTCCAATGCACAAGAATCACCTGATTTTCTGAGATTGAATATACTCCATGCCACTAAAGGCACCATAAATAGAAAGTGCCACTCGTACATCCCATCCAATTTCCGAGGAGTTTCTATTACATTACAAAAAGATCTAGTCAATCAAGCATATTAATCTGAAGAGCACTTAGACAAAAAAGACGCAGGCATGGGATAACTTACAGTTTCTGCCGAAGATGGTGAAGTGCAGCAGTGCACTCAGATCCAATTGTTGTATAGTGTGCTAGTCGCATTGTTTCTATATCTGGTATCGTCACCTCTACAGTCTAGGAAAATAAAGGAAACTAACTTTAACAGGAAAGTATTGAAAATATTCAATCCACTCCATTCTTTCCTACTAAAAAACTTGAATTCATGGTGGGTCTTTGTTATATAAAGGTCTCCAGCATACAAATGTAAGCACTGGGTTATATATAACATATCAATCACAGAATGGCCGGGAATGAATACATTACCTCCCATCCATAACACTTCTGAAGTTTATCAAGAGCGTGAGAGCAACAAAGCTTGATATCAGAGTGACAGTCATCAAACCACTATGCCAGGAGAATAAAACAAAGAAGTTAAAGAATCATTAGAACAATTGACTGTAAAAAGGTTTCTACAGCAAAAAATTTATGGTGTGTAGCACATAGAGGGTCAGATGAATTACAAACCTTTCCATATCTCGCCATTTTGATATCACCAATTAATGTCTTTGGTCTCAGCAGAGGCAGTTTCACTTTAGGCTGGTAAGATCACAAAATCATGTCCACAGTCAACATATAATCCATACTATTGTGCATCAACAAGTGGTAAAAGAAAAAAAATGGCAATACCAATAACCATATACAGCATTTTACATTGTTACTTAAGAAAAGGATATGAAGATTAGAGGGGTAACTTTTAGCTATCAAGCAACAGATCAATTTAATAAGCATAGAATAAAAGGCAACTTTCACTGTCAAACAAAATTAGAGACCGGACTCTTTCCAATAGAAACTTTACAGGACAGTTCTAATAAGCAAAAGATCAAACCTAGACAAATGAAAATTATTCACTGCAGACTGTGTTTCTAGAAAGTGAGCGGAAGGAGCAGATAATACTCATAATTACTGAAGTAAAATTGTAAAACCATTGAGTCATTTTATGTTATTTGAGGGCCTTCCACTGAAACTAAAATAATGCTATTATGTCATCAGGGAAACATATTATATTCTTTAGTTAGGTAAACTATTGGTCAAATTGTGAGTTCTTCTCACATACAACCATAAATTCAAAATAAACTGTGGGGATGTAATGGGTGGGTTGGTTGCTTTTTTCTTTTTCTTTTTTTTCTTCACACTTATAGGTTAGCTATCAGCTTGGAAGGTAAAAAGAAAATCCCTGTGGCAATTAGTGTTAATGACTATTTTCTAGGTTTAATGGTTGGTGGGGAATGCCAAAATACACTGCTATACAAACTCTTTATAAGAGCTTTGTTGAGCAGGCTTGTATATCTAGCATTTCTTGGAGCTTAAAGTGGTGGAGCCATTTTATGGTGGCTGGTTTTTCCTTTCTTGGTGAATCATGATTGTCATACTCTTATTTTGATACTCCTACAAGAAAAATTCTAGTCCTTCACTCATATCTCTTCCTCTTCAAAAAAATCCATGGCGAAAAAAAATTATGCAGGATTTTGTATTACACCATCTGAAGTGTGATTTGTATTCTTGTAACTTATAATTATCTTATGAGTTTAAGCAACATTACCGCCAAAACTGTAGGCTGGTCTGAGAGGAGTTGACCACTAATAGCTGCATAACTGAGATTAGGACCCATGATTATTAACGATATTAGCTCATATGAAGAGAGTAAGTACTTGAGAACGTAGTACAGGAATGCTTACGTTATTAAAGCATCTTCAACCGTACCAGATAGAATTCCAACCATCCCAACTGTCCAATTAAGAGGAAGTACGCTATAAACAAAATAAGAATAAATGAGTCAATTTGGACCTCATATTGTTAAAAAAAAAAAAAAAAAAAAAAAGAATACAGCAAAAGAATGACAATGATATTTCCATTTTTTACCCTCATGATGATGAAATTCAGGAACATAGTACTCACCCTGTATGAGGTACACGTCCAAAAGTTGGCTTGAAACCAACAACACCACAGAGAGCTGCAGGCATACGAACTGACCCTGCATATATGTAGCCAAGTATTCAGTACTTGTCAATTTAAGTACAAGAGCATTTAATGTGATGCGTCAATATGATATTTTATTTACCGCCACCATCAACACCAAGTGCGACAGGACATAATCCTGCAGAAACAACGGCAGCAGAGCCACTAGAAGATCCACCAGCTATCCGACTGGTGTTGTAAGGATTGAGAGTTACCCTACAGTAATCAAGGAAGAGAAAAAAAAAAAAAAAAAAAAAAAAAAAAAAAAAAAAAAAAAAAAACCCGATTATAAAAAATTATGGTAAAACTAGCTCTCTGTAGAACTGCATCAAGTTAACAGTATTCTATACTGCCAAATTTATATATTTTTTTTCCCTACACAGTTTTCCTTGATTTGGATAAAGATAGAGAGAATATATATGTGATTATAGATGAGGAAAGGCATAATACCCGTAGTGAGGATTTATTCCACTTGTCCCAGCACCAAGCTCATGCATGTTGGTTTTCCCAACGAGTAACGCACCACATGATCTCAGACGTTCAACACAACAAGCATCATTTTCGCAGGATCTAAACTTGTGCAACCATTTCGTACCTCCTAAAAGAGATTACAAAAAAAAAATGCAGAGTATTTTCCCACAAACTATAATCACAAGAAGGGCTTTATGTTTTAAAAAGGAACTTAGAAACTATGGAAATAAGCATACCTGTAGTTGGATAAGGGTTGCAGTCTATTTCATCTTTGATGGCTATTGGCACTCCATCCAGCACAGAGAGTGGTTTTCCTGCAAGACGTTTTGACCATGAGGAGAACAAGTGAGGCACATAATAATATACTTCGTGTTACAATAAAGAGAAAAAAAAAAAAAAAGAAAGAAAAAAAATGCTACTGATTTTCAGGTTAAAGGAAAATCAAATGATCAGTTGATTGATCTGTACTGATGTGAGGAGACTGAACTAACGGTAGCATGTACACACTCAGGAAGTTCATTGATTGTCGTCAGTACAGTTGCTCAAAGGATTACAGGAAACATGATTTTTAGTATTGTGGGAATATGTGAAATAAAAGAACTACTTTATCTCATAACTCTAGTACCTTTATTATGACGAAGAGTAGACTCAGCAGCTTGCTCCAAAATATTTTTGGCATCACAACTAATAAAAAACGACATATTGCATTTAGTATTAGATGATTGTCCGACAGCTCTAATAAATCGCTCGGCCACCTGCAAACAAACTAAAAGAAGCACTTCAACCACTTGTTCCCTTGATATGTGACATACATCCAAAAACAGACGCATTTCTGATTGTTGGACAAAAGTAAAAGATGGTATGCATACACATGGCATACACATGAATGAATATATATTATAACTAGCTAGAAAAGATAAGAATTAAAATAAGGTACTTTAACTTTGAAAGGGGCAGTTCACCCCGCAATCCTCCCAAACTTAAAAAGAAAAAAAAAAAAAGGAAATAAAGAAAACGAGTAAAGGAAGAAATGCAATAAAATTTCACACATATAAGGTTACAGCCAAAGAAATGACATATAAGTACTCCATAAATATTAAACAGCAAAGTTATACCATGCTTGGAGTCAGCACTCCAGATCTGTAGGCTTCTGAGTAGTCCATTATTGTCCAGCGCCGAAACCAAGGATTTGTATCGCTTGAAATACTTCCTGAAGAAGAAGGAAGGCATTGTAGCACCTCTTGTACTCTTTCACATGGATTACTGTTAGATTTGATGCATTGCACTTCTTTCTCTGGGGGATCTGCAGATGTTTACTCAAATGTGTATATATACTGCATATAAATATCCATATCTAAAGGAGTTGATTTACTGAATTGATTGAAAAATATGAAGGCAGGAAAGTAGGATTATTTTCAGAGCACGGTCAAATGAGCTTTATAGTTAATAGTAACACCTAAATGAAGTGTTCCCGAGAAGGTAATACCTTCAGAAGGATGTAATGGGACATATACAGGTGACTCTTCCAACTCGGCATATGAAACAAGCTGCAGAACTTATTTTAGTGAGAAACTAATTATTACATTAAAGGTTTTTCTCATCTACATAAATGTACTTGAAGACATGTTGTTTTTGAGAAGCTTCTTACAGCTATTACCATCTTTTTTTATGCCTATTGGTATGTAATAGCATTATCAAACAAGAAGTGGCCAAAGTTTTAATTACCTTATGAATCAAGTTGTCTTTCTTGAGGAAATACAGAAACATCATTCCAACTATCCTGCACTCCAGAATCCAAACAAAGAGTTTGACCAAAATTCCCGCCATACGTGGAGCTGGGCACAAGTAAGGAAATTTCAGTGACGACTACAATTAATGATCTCTTAATCTTTACTGTTATCAACATGATACCTCTAATAAATTCTCAACCCAGAATTCAAGATTCAGGAATCAGTTACATGCTTACATTTATCTCTTTTATTGTCACTAAACTTTGTGAACAAAAAATCTGACAAAATTGATAAAATCCAGCACAAAATGCCAAAACAAACATAAAATCAATGTTGGCACATACAAAAAATACTCCTTATAAAGATCAACCAAAACCAAATTCGAGCCTTTTTGGCAATTATTCATTATTCAGAATTCAACTAATAAAAGTAAAGCAATTAAAAGAAACAAACAAAAAACATAATCAATCTACAGGAGGAATTTATGAAACCACAAGAATCATTTGATACCGAGGGTTAATATATAAACATCATCACTATCATGTCTTATATCAATCTCATCAATGGGCTAGTAAGATACACCCTTGCACCCTAAATCTTATATTGCTTTTTCCATTCTTCGAGCATGCTAGGATTGGGAATAATGTATTGATGAGGAAATAAAAGAATTTGGAGGAGATTGAAGGTAGATGAAGGTTAAGGTTAATGGGTTGATGTAGTGATTATGTGGGGGAGAAATTCGGGATGTTATCACCTTCATTCTGGAGGTAATACTTACCCATTATCTCACTAGAGTAATGTATTACTTCCAAAACAAGGGTAATATCTTACATCCTTACTCGCTGCATTATAACTACATCACCCCTTCAACCAAAACTAACTTCATCTTCATTCTCTTTACTTTAAGTTTTTATTTCCATTGCCCCTTGATCCGAGTATGCCCTTCCATTTACAAATATAATATCACCCTAATGCTTAAAGTGATTAATTATTCAAAGGATTCCAAGTCATTATCTTTTTACCATAGCTATTTTTTTTTTCACAATTATCCTTACCATAAAAAATTAATAATCTTGCTTCTTTCCCATAGTGTTCTTTGACATTCATGTTTTCTTTTACCCCTGCTTTATTAAAAAAAATTAATTAACATCATATAAATAATTAATTAAAGTTTAGGGGGTAAACCCAATTGACATTATGCATATACTCCATTAATATTATTCAATTAAATCCCAAAATTGATACTTGTATCAACCAACCAACGTCAATTCAACCAATAAAGGTCATATAATCAAAAAAATAAAAAAAACAAACATATCATCAAACACCTGGTGGGCATTAACAAAACAAGAACAAACTTTTGACAATGGGACTAATACATAATTAACAAAGTTTAGGGGCTAAACCCAATTGGCATTATGCAAATACTCCATTAATAATATCAATCAATTAAATCCCAACATTGATAACAACCAACCAATGTCAAACCAACCAATTAATGTCATATAATCAAAAAATAAAACAGCAAACATATCATCAAACACCTGGTGGGCATTAACAAAACAAGAACAATTAAACAAACCTTTAACAATGGGACTAATATAAACTTCATCACTCTCAGGACCAAGATCAATCTGATCAACAGGCTTATAGATCACGCTTTCACTCCTAAAAAAACCCATCTTTTTCGATTGTTTTGTTCAACAAAAAACAGAGGATTCAAAGAATGTGATATAGCTCCCCAATACCCATCAAACCCAGGAGTCATTCTCAATATATAAAGGTAGAGGAGAGAGAAAAAGGGTGGGAAATTGTACTTGGCGAAAGTATACTGTAGTTGATGAGGATGAAAATGATCATACTGTAATGGGTAATATTCGTACATCATGAAAATTGGGAAGGTTTTTGGTATATAGTTACTGAGGAGAAAGGTCATTCGCGGGCTTTTTGAGTTGAGTGGACTATTCGTAGTATTTGACTACGGAGTATTAGGTATTCCACCCGTCTAGAAGACTTGAGATTTGTTCTATTCAACTTGTTTCAGATACTTATTACTTATTTCTTAATAAATTCAAATCAAATCAGATCAGAAACATTTAGATCATATCAGAACTTTTAACTATCATTTACTTATTGCTAAATATTGTTAATTACGTATTAAAAATATAATGAAAATTACATATTTGAAAAGTTCATAATGAGACGAATCTAACAAAATCCATTTTGATAATGTTTTTCTTCATAGATTAATATTAAAATGCAGTCAAAATTTAGTCAAATTATTAAATTAGATCAGATCATACCAGATAATAAAAATTCAGATCATATCAGATTAGACCTTATTAAAATCAGACTAGATTTCTTTGTTTTAGGTGAAGAGAAGATGTTCTAGAATTTTGCTCGAGTATGGACGACAACTAAATTAGTTACTCATTTACATAATCGCCCTTTGCGGCTCCCACTACACCAAAAAAAAAATACTCGACTTATCAGGGTCATATGCGAGATTTTCTCATTTGAATATCCTAATTTCGCGTGGATAGCTTAAGTGATTTACTAATAGACGATGTCTTAGAAGTATTCATTGTAATTTTAAGAAGAGCGGTAGTGATTATTAAGGGATTTTGAGGGAAAATTTTGGGAATTTTTATCCTTAGGCCCTGTTCACTTCACCTTAAAAAAAATCTTAGTAAAAATATTTTCAGTTTAGTAAAAAAATTTCAATTCAGTAAAAATAAGTTCAGTTAGTAACAATAATTTCAGTTCAGTAAAACTCAGTAACTTTAAAGAATAAATATAACAGAGAATCAGTAAAAATAATTTTAGTTCAGCAAAAATAATTTCAGTTTAGTAAATATAATTCAGTTTAGCAAAAATAAGATGAAGTGAATAGGGCCTTACTTTATAAAATTAATTTGTTTGTCATCCATAACACCTAAAGTTTTCACTAGGTTGTGCAAATAATATTCGATGTTATTTGTGAAAAGAAGAGGAGAAATGAAGGTTGAAAGTTATTAATAGGAAAGATTGTCAAGAATACCACGACCTTTGGCATGTATGTTACACTTAATCTGTTAAATGGGTTACCATATTTTTTATTTTAGTCAAAGCAAATACCCCCCAAAAGTGGCATTATTTTGGAATAGTCAAAAGATCATTTTATTTTTGAAAGACCGATTAAAGGTTGTATTGTTCTTATCAATTTTTCCTTATAAATACAAGGGTTATAACAAATTTTAGGAGAAAACATGAAAAATGTGCTGCATTTGCTAGAAATTCTAGCCAGAAAACTCAAATGGGTAGTGTTACTTAAAAAATTAGCGCTAGTTTTTATATATTGAAAAAAAAAACAGTGGATAGTTAGCAAAAACAAAAAATTCAAAACTTGATTTCAAATCAAGGTTGGGGATGAAGAGTTGGAGACTCATTATAAATTAAGGAAAATACGTAACCCTAAGGCTACATATAACATTACCCATAAATTAATACTCTATAATTGACAAAGAGTCATAAATTGAGAGAGTAGTTTTTTCCCGCATCTTAAAATCAATCATAAATTAAAGGACAAAGAATCATAAATTGTGAGAGTAGTTTTTTCCCGCATCTTAAAATCAATCATAAATGTTTGAGGGTTAATAATAGTCTCATACTTATTCCATTTTCGTTTAACTGTAACGTTTGACTCTTTTTTTTTCTATTGATGAGAATACATTTTAGATAAAGCATTTAAGATTTGGTAAGTCTTGTGTTTTAACATTTTGCTAGATTCTCATTCTAAGTTTTTTAATTTCTAAACTATCATTTATTTTACAATGTTATAGAAGAAGTTGCCATCTATTTTGAAAATAGTAATACGTATGTTATTTAGATGAAATACTACAAGAGGGGGGGTGAATTGTAGTATGGAGATTGCTAGTCACTTTTTGCGGAATTAAAAGAAACTTAACGCAATAGAGAAATAGTGCAAGAGAGATTTTACGAGGAAAACTTCCTAGGCCAAATAGGAAGTGAAAAACCTCGACCCAAAGGGATTTTGACTCAAAACATTCCACTAAAATAGGCCAACGACTCTGTTACAACCTATGAGGAACTTGAGCCTCTACCGAGTTCCTCAACGAACTCATATCCCCAACAACTATTCCCTCTAATAGTTGCAGCTTGAAATCTTCCCTCAAAGACCTCTCTTCTCACTCAAGACTTCACTCAAAACCTTACTCTTTCTCTTTCTCTCAAGCTTCACTCAAAGCCTTCTCTACATACAAAGAACTCACTCAAGTTCTCACCCTAATACAAGAGTTCACTCAAACCCTTATTAATTCCCCATTACAAGAGTTCACTCAAACCCTTAAACAACTCTCAAATACATATAAAAGATATAATGTATAAAACCAATATGTTGAACACTCAAGATCTGTCTGGAACTCACTAGACGTATTGTAACCAAAAACCTGATAGGAACTTTGACCAGGAGGACTGACTTAGCTTCGTGGTGAAGGATAAAACCATTAAGAACGACCACTACACTTCGTCAGCCTCAACTTTGAATGAATGCATATGAGCATATTTATAGTACACTCGAATTATTCATTTCATCTTGAAAAAGATAGATTTTCTGAAAAGATAAGTTTAAAAGATATTTTCTAAAAATCAGTTTTCCGAAAATATATCTTTTTGTTAAGAATAAAAACTGTCAATAATAATAAGATAAACTTAGCATAAAATCAGATTTTATTCAAAACTTATCTTTTTGTTTAAAATACTTTTTAAACAATCTTATCTTTTTCCAAAAGGGATTTATTAGAAGATAAATATCTTTATTCAGTAAAACCAAATCCCTAAAAGATATGCACGTATAAGGTAAATATATATATCATTAAAACCGACTTTTAACGACGTTCATACTTAAGTTCCTATTAGGTTCCTGAACTCTGACAGTCTCTGAGTTCCTGACAAGTCAGTTACTCTAATTTCATTGACTGTTTGGAATTCACCTTGGTTCTATATAGACTTGTTCCAGACCGACTTTTATGTCCAACATACTTACATGAATCCTAGAGCAATATACTTCTATTTCTCTGTCTTCATGTTGCTTCTCTGAAACTCTTGTTCTGGAATCCTGTAGTCTTGATATATTCTGGATCTTAGGGTTTTCCCCAGCATTACACCGAAACCAGGTCGTTACAACCCGTTTTGAAGTTCCTGTTAAGAAACTTCTGGAAGTTCCATTTCTGGAACTCTTCTTCTAAATTTACTTGTATCCTCATGGATCCTCTAAAGTTCCTCTGTTTCAATTCCTACTTCAGCCCTCAACGCTTACTGAACCTGCAAACATCACAACACTAGAAAATCCTTATTAAATGGAAGTTTGCTCAATTCTTAACATCATCATCAAAACCTCATAAGGATCAACAAGTTGTCCCTTTTTGATGATGACGAACTGAGCAAACTTCTGAGAATAACAAAGTAAAACAGAAGGTTAGTTTTTTATTTATAAAAACAATAAAGAAAACTAAACTAAATTAAAAGACTCCTACACATACATAACCTATATATGTATAGGATACTTACCTTATGAAGCTAACATATGTAAACACATGTTTACATAGTTACCTTCATGGTCCCTTAGCCATCATCATGCTTATCAACCATAACACTTATCGTTGTTCTTGTTCCTCTATTGCTTATCCTATATTGCTCAAGTTCCTTACATATATACCTGTCATTACTCAGGTTCCTTGTATCCTGTTCCAAGCATAATTTGCTTTTTCTATGCACAACTTAACATACACGTTAGATAGATAATCATCATTAGTTTATAATCATCAAAACCTAATTGCTCAACAATTTCCCCCTTTTTGATGATGACAAACTATTGATGCTCATCACATATTAAAGGATAATCGTTGTACATTTATTCCCCCTTAGTTTTTCAAGGAAATAACATTTAAACAAGTTAAGAACATACACAAGAACTTAATAGTTAGGAACTTAGCAATACACATCATTTATCAATATATAAATACTTTCAACAATCATGATGTAATAACTTTAGACTTAATTACTGCATACCATAAGCATCATACATATTCTTCCCCCTTTTGTCATTATCAAAAAGGGTATTGTTCCACACGTTTGTTTTTCGTAAATTATATGCACTTAAAGTCATATGTCACACCTACCACCATATAATAAGTAAGTATATACTAGTTAAACACTTGTTGTTCCTAAAAGCCTCAAGGTACTCACTTTTCAAACACGGATACCATTTCCACACTAACTTCCAACTCACAATCCAAAGGCCCAACTTCAAAACCCTTAATTGAACTTGACAAATAAGAAGTTAAAATTCAAGTAAAGATCAGAGCTAAAAAGTTAGAAATGGATTGCATGAATAGACCAATTAAAGCGCAAGCTTAAAGGATATATAAAGAAGCATATGGAACAAAATAAGTAGAGGGAACGTGAAGTGGAATTTGTGCTCTTCGTTTAAACCTTTTGAGATGAGAACCGCCACATTGTACTTTATCTCAAACTCTTGAATCTCCTATTGAACACAACACATATTCATCTTGCCAATTGATAACCCAGTTCCCTTACCTTAACCACCAACTTCTTTGAGGAACATTCTCCATACTGGAACTTAAATAGATTTCAGTTTCATCATAATCAAGTTCCTTCGTCGTTTATTATTGTTCCTTCACTAGCTCACCAAGTATACGAGTACACGACATCAACATAGTCAACATTCTTCATATATAGATACCCAGGAAATTAAATATTTGATCACCCTTTTTCCTTTTCTTTCTCTTTTTTTTTTTTTTTTATATTTTTTTTTTAAAGGGTGTCATTATACAAATTTTGCATGCTTTCCTGGAATAACACATTTTA